GATTATTGTTTAGAAACGGGGTCGTTGGCATAGATCTAAGATTTGTCTCCAGGTCAAAATTGCTGGTACCAAATATGTAAACGACAGAACTTAAAGGCATGCCTCGTAGCACATATTTAATGCTAAAATTCGAAAAATTTAAAGAAAAGAGTGAATAAGCTCATTGCACTTAATCATCTTCTGCTCGAACAAAGTTACCATTTAGTGGGGATAATAGTCAAGTAGGCTTATCATAATTGACAATAGGAAAAAGGAGAAAGAATACCACCATGTTACGTATTCCACAAATTGAGTCGTGTAAAGAACATTTTCGAAAACTTGGCATACTTACGGTTCCCTCTTTGTATATCTTAGTTTCACTTACATACTTAGTATTTTTTTTTACTAATATAAAACAAGCGAAGAAAGGAAAAAGAGAGAAAATATGACACGTCGAAAAGATTTAAAAACTTCAATTACACCAACATTTTATATAGAAGAGGGGGCAAACGAGCATGCGGCTCACCTGATGTTAAGTGACTACCGCCGCCCATGATCAACCGCAACACCAGGGGAATTGCAGGTGCGTTGCCGGCCCTTTAGAAAGGAGTACGCTCTTTTCTTGAAGGTCCCCAGGTCGTATCGGTCCGGAAAAATCGCTGGTGGTAAACTATTCCACAGAGAGGTTGTACGCGGAAGAAAACTCCTTTTGAAACGTACAGTGGTGGACCGCCAAGCATCCAGATGGTGTGGATGGTATCGGGACGTTTGCCGCGTAGTGCGTTCACGAAATTTGGCGGCTAGGATTAATCCGAACAATTCCTCAGAGCACTCTCCATGGGATATGCGAAAGAAACAGAGATGCAACATCTCTTCGCAGTGCCAGTGAATCGAGCCGTTCCGATAAGAGTATGGCGGAAAACGGCATCTAAAGTTGCAGGCGGTGTGCCGGCATGAAATACCGTCCCGCTCTGCTGAGCACGCCAAGCTTTTTAGAGGCCAATTTGGCCTTCTCTCCCAAGTGACCACGAAACTGCAGGTCACTCGATATGTCGACGCCGAGGATTCCGATACTGGCTGAGGCAACAAGGGGAGTGCCTTGAAACTGAGGAGATACGACAAAGGGGTTCTTTTTAGCGGTTAACGCGCAAACTTGTGTCTTTTGGGGGTTAAACTGGACTAGATTTAGTCGCCCCCAATCCGAGACTCTGTTCAGCAAAGACTCGACTTCAGACACAAGTTTGTCCCGGCACTCGGAGACGTTTTCCCGAGAAATATTGGCTCGGCCGGTGTAAAGAGCATCACCAGTGCTGTCATCTGAATAGCAATGAATGTTACGGGTTTGCAACATATCATTGATATGCAGAAGAAACAGCGTTGGCGATAGCACGCAGCCTTGTGGAACACCAGCATTAATAGGCTTGCAATCGGAGCTTGCACCGTCTACAATGACCTTGATGCCCCGATCTGCAAGAAAGCTGGTGATCCAATCGCACAATTTCTCGGGAAGCCCATAGGATGGGAGCTTCGAAAGGAGCGCTTTGTGCCAAACCCGATCGAAGGCCTTCGCAATGTCCAAACTAACGGCCAATGCCTCTCCCTTGGACTCTACTGCCTCCGCCATCTGTAAATTAGGTAGACCAGAAGATCACCAGCTGACCGACCACGGCGAAAACCGTATTGGCGGTCACTAATAAGCTGGTGATCCTCAAGGTACCTCATGAGCTTGCAGTTTACAATGGACTCCATTGTTTTGGAGAACAAGGAGGTGATGGCGATAGGCCGGTAGTTGGACGGGTCCGAGCGGTCGCCTTTTTTCAGGGATCGGGTAGACGAAAGCCGTCTTCCATGATTTTGGGACTACGCCTAGGGTGTAGCAGTACCGGAAAAGACGCGTTAAAACCGGTGTCAACTCTGGAGCACACGTCCTCAGCACAATTGGGGGAATTCCGTCAGGCCCACTCGACTTGTGGATGTCCAGGGAGGGGAGTGCTTTGCGAACCGAGCGCTGTGTGAACTGCACTTCCGGCATGGAGCACTCACACCGCGGGATGGTCGGCGGCGTACTCCCCCCGTCATCGAGAGTCGAGTTGGACGCAAAGAAAGAGCCTAGAAGATCGGCTTTCTCCTTTGCGGTATGGGCCAGTGAGTCGTCCTCCCTGTGCAGAGATGGAAGAGATGACTGAGACCTGGACAGCCTTGGCGAGAGACCAGAATGCACGAGTTCCAGAAGGAAGGCGAACTAGTTTCTCGCCAATTCTGCCTATGTGCTCTGACTTTGCCTTGGCAATGACTCTTTTGAAGGACCTAGAGGCAGAATTATACTTCTTTTTTAGAGCGCTGGTGTTTACATCCCGGGACGCTGATGCGTCAGCCCAGGTTTGGTAACACTCCTGCTTATAGCATGATGCTATTTTACAGGAGCGACCAAACCATGGCTGAGATTTGCCTCCAATGGGCACCACAGAGGAAGGAATAAAAAGTTCCATACCCTGAAGTACCACATCAGCGACAGAATCCGCAACAACATTGGGATCGTCCGGCGAGAAGCAAACCCGCCCCCAAGGGTAGGATGCAAAGAAAGACCGCATCCCATCCCAATCGGCTGACCTATAGTGCCAAACACGGCGGCAGCCTGAAGAATGCAACTGCGATTTCAGCGTGAGTGGCACCACACTCCGAACAAGACAATGGTCCGAGGAGCCTAAAGGGGCGTCGACGGAAATCTGATATCCGTCCGGGTGAGAGGTCAGCAGAAGGTCCAAGAGGGAAGGTGCACGATCCTCCACATATGGAATCCGCGTAGGCGAAGTAACCAGTTGTGTCAGACCATATGCCAAGGCAAAATCATGAACAGATCTCCCCGCATGATCGGTTAAACGTGAACCAAGCCATTCGGCGTGATGGGCGTTAAAGTCCCCGAGGATAACGATCTCTGCGGAGGGGATCTGCTGTAGCAACGAATCTGTAGCCATTTGGACGTGGTCGAAGAGTCGGTCTGTTTCGGCATTACCGCTATGGGACCTATATAGGCACCCGTAGACGCGCGGGTGGTCGTCGCTGTCTACGCGTAGCCAAAGGATGGACAGGTCCGAACCTTCAAGTCTGCCGAGGTCTGTCTGTCCTCTATGACGTAAACGCAAACTCCAGCCCGTGGCACAAAAGAGTGTTCCAGTTTGTACCCCGGGTAGGAGAGATACGAGACATCAGCCGGAGAGGACACCTGCGTCTCGGTCAGAAAGAGCAGAGCCGGCCTCGCCGTCTCGAGATGGTAGTGGACGGCGTTTAAGGTTAGAGTGAAGTCCCCTGATATTGCAGAAATTCACGGACAGCGTGGCAGGAGTCGCCGTGGTCTTGTTGCTCCGTTTGCCCCGAGCAGTTGTAGTCTTGAGCGGAATTTTGCCCCCCCTCCCCCCCAGAATACGCGGAGCAGCCTGAGCACCCACGCTCAGAAGTGGAGAAACATGGTCGTGGGTGCTCAGCGAGGGATTCTCCAGGGGTGCTGGTGCGTAAGCCATTGCACTATTTAATTCTTTGCCTATCTCATTTAAAGTTATTTATTGCCACCAAAAATTCCAAAATAAACTCAACTCATTATTAATTAAGAAAAGCTACTACTCAGTTGACGATTACCTAAATGAGAAAAATAAACTTAATGAATGTTATTTTTTTTTTTTGTTTATGTACTGCCTAATATATTATAATCTATTATGACATGAAAAATATTTAATTATGACAGTAAGAAGTATTAAATGTATATAAGTAGGTATATAGAATGATTGTAGTTGTATGACTTTAAGAATGATTTTAGTTTTATTTAAGTCAATTGCATGTAAACGTAATTCTTCATTTTGTGTAATTAATTTTCCAATACAATGTAATATTGTTCTATGGAATAAATGACTATGACTATATTTATTTAATTATTTATCTCCAAGTAAATAATATGATATACTCTAGACCGGATTTGGGACACGGCAGCTAGTCTCCCAAACCGAGACTAGCACAGTGCGCAACCATGTGTGCAAGCACACTGATCACAGATGCATCCTCTATTCCCTCGTCTCACATAGTTCGATAGAACGGCAATCTGACAAGATCGATGAGGGATCGAGCGCAGGACCAACAGCTTTACATGCTTTTCGCGGCACGGGAGTATACACTGCCAATTTACTGACTCCGAGATTCTATTGAAAATTACCCAACAGAAACCACAATAACTGATTTTGACCTAACCCGAAACTATTTTATGATTAACATTCGCGCTAACGTCCACTAAATCACGAGTCCGTTAAATAACATACATATTCCAAATATAATGTAGATTTTTATTTGTACATAATTGGAGCGGAGCTACCCAGGTCGCAAGAAAACGATTCCTTGAAATCTATCTCCTCCGTAACCCGTAGGCCAATTTACATAATTTTTTCGGCAATATTTGTAGCTCAACGCAGATAAGGTTTGTAAACAATGAAAATCTGAATCTGAATTTTTTTTTCGTTTACTATCTAATCAAGTCACTAATTTACATCTGCGCAATGTCACACCATTTGCTTGAATCTTTAGTTGAAATAAAGATAGTCATGACTTTAGACTTTTACTCCGTTTCGTTTATAATGCTAGCAAGGTTTTAGCTTTGCATCTACATCGGCCCTAGTATTATGCGTAACACGTATCCATAATTTAAATTTTAATACTCAAAAGTAAATAGTACGGATAAATAAGCTGAAGTAGCAATCCAATCGACCGGACAAAAGGTTCTCGAGTGGCAGCCTCGTACCAGTAAACAAAGTGTAAGGCGGACCCCCACTAAATGGAATGACGACCTGGTAAGAGATGCCGGAAGTCGATGAATGCAGGTAACTCGGAACCGTACTGTTTGCATCTCTTGGGAGGCCTATGTTCAGCAGTAGACTTGTCACGACCTGTAATGATGATTAAATTATGGCAAACTTAAACTTGAATAAATACAGATAGCTTTTGTTTACCTTACAGAAGATAAAATAAATAAAAATACTTACTGTGCTGATTTATAAGCATTCGTATTGATATCCGGCTCATGTAAAATCGATCTAAGAAGTACTGTATCGAGTTCTCAGTTCCGGGATCGACTTCGTGTGACTCCTTGAGCTCCAACACTCCCTGAGCCATTGTCTGAACCACGTCCGCGTGACGGTTGCGAATGTGTACCAGCCTTTCGCAGAATCTGTCCAAGATTAATATAGTGATAAGAATATAAAAAATCATTAAGTAAAACAATAATTATAACTTTTATTTATTTATGTATTTTTAATGTATTTATTTTATTATATATATATATATATATATATATATATATATATATATATATATATATATATATATATATATTTATCATTCTCATTCACAATTATATATTTATGGAACCCAATCAGATAAGAAAAAAACGGCCAAGAGCGTGTCGGGCCACGCTCAGTGTAGGGTTCCGTAGTTTCCCGTCCGTCACAATAAGTGTTCCCACTTATGAGTTTAAAGGGGGGTATCCATTATGTTCGCGCTCCAGCAGCGCTCCGCGCTCCTGCAACTGCTCCCGGTAGTGGTTACTGTTGTTTCCAACCAAGTTCAAAATAATTTTCCTAGAAAGTCCTTATAAAGTTCTACTTTTCAGATTTTTTTTCATATTTTTTAAACTTATGGTTTAAAAGTTAGAGGGGGGGGACACATTGTTTTTTACTTTTGGAGCGATTATTTCCGAAATTATTGACATTATCAAAAAATGATTTTACTAAACCCCTATTCATTTTTAAATACCTTTCCAACAATATATCACACGATAGGGTTGAAATTAAAAAAATCACTTCCCACTTTACATATAGGGGGGCTACCCTAATAAAACATTTTTTTCCAATTTTTATTTTACCACTTTGTCGGCGTGATTGATACACATATTGGTACCAAATTTCAGCTTTCTAGTGCTAACGGTCACAGAGATTAAGCGAGGACGGACAGACGGACAGAAAGACATGGCGAAACTATAAGGGTTCCTAGTTGATTACGGAACCCTAATATATAGATACCCCAGTAAAATAATAATATTATTTATTTAATCCAAACATACTTTACATAAAAACAAAAACTTGTAAAATTACATTGACAAGACTTAATCTAACTCGATACTATGGGTATGTTCCGAAATACAACACAGTACACTGTCGAATGCGAATGACGTCATAAATCGACGCCATATTGGAGATTCGTTGTATCGAATATGGTGGAATACGACGTCAATTAATGACGTCATTTGCACTCGACAGTGTACTGTGTTGTATTTCGGAACATACCCTATATTAAAGTTCCGTTACTATTATAGCCATCACAATCCACCGCTGAGCACAGGCCCTTCCCAAGGCGGGATATTTGCCACAGTAGCCAGGCTTGACAGTTGTGTTGGCAAGGGCAGCGTTTTAATTTTTTAGTTGCTATTAGGAAGATGCTTCTGCCGATCTCCTGGTTTATTTTCCCGCGATCCTTGGGATCGATTTCTTACGATACCAACCTACTATTGATTGAAGTTTCAAGAGCTTAATTATAAGGACCCAGACGATACGGTTCCCATTACATCAACTAATCTATTGACTAGTAAAGTAAAGTAAAGTTACAGCCTATATACGTCCCACTGCTGGGCACAGGCCTCCTCTGATTTCTGCCACGCTGCCCCAATGCGTGTTGGCGAACTACACATGTCTTCGAAATTTTTCTTATTTCTCAGACATACAGGTTTCCTCATGATGTTTTCCTTCACCGCCAGCACGTGGTAGAACAGCACTTAAAATTGCAATTAACAATTTCATCGGTGCCGGCGGGGATCGAACCCGGTTTGCTCGCGTACTGTGAAATTTACAGCGAGCGCTAACCATCTGAGCTACCACTGCTCTGTTGACTAGTGTTTTCTTGGATTTTTTTAATTGTATACGCATTTTACTTACACATTGTTGATCAATTATTTTCAGCCTACAAGTAACAAGCAAAATAACACACTACATCCAGCTAAGTGGTTGAAAAAACATTCGTAAAAAAAAAAGAATGGCCGCGGTGTAGAACTTAGAACCAGTACTACATATCGTCCCATGGTCATAGTAAGAGGCGACAGAGGGAAACAAATCAGGAGTGTCTTCCTAATAACCATGAAAAAACCGTGGTTGTCTACTCGCATACCAAGCGTGGCAACTATTGCAAACATTCGTCTTGTGATGCAATCTTTGGGAAGGCAGTTCAGTAGTGGACTTTAATGGATGGGAAAAATTGCATGACATTCCTTGAAGGAATTATGAAAATAGTGAATATCTTCACAAGGTAACGTATTGTTTTGAACGAATTAACCACTAATTCGTTCAAGCGTATTGTATTCAATAGCGCCGATAGTAAAGATCAATACAATACGAAGTTTTCGAAGTAATCAGGTCAAGAGCTATTTTTAAGATATCCTGATTTAGGTTACGATTCCTTTTCGAGATAACAACTGCGCTTAATATTTATTTATTCTTTTTTGTACACCACAATAAAGAAACATCAATACAAAAACAAATAAAGATGTACAATAGGCGTCTTATCACTCTGAAGTGATTTCTTCAACAACCTTTGCGTGAGGAACCAAAGGGGGAATCAAAATAATATAAAAAATATAATAATACATACAAATAAAGATAAGTAAATTATATATAAAATATCATATAAAAAATAAAAGAGTACGAGAAAGGTAAAGTAATTATCATAGCCAAATAATACTTTAACAAGACTTTTGAAAGAGTGAAAGATTTAGCACACAATATGGAGAGGTAAGGAGTTCCACAATCGCACAGCGATTACGGTGAAGGATTTCTTGAAAAAGGAAGAAGAGTGCAAAGGTGTAGAGAGAGAAAGATTGACGGGGGATCGAAGGAACCGATTATGGGTAAGAGAAAGATACTGGAAACGATTTTTAAATAAAGAGGAGTGGAAGGATTAAACAGCACACTATACAACGCGGAGAGAATGTGAGTATTCCTGCGAAGGCGGATCGGGAGGCATTTGAGCTGTTTGCGAAATTCGGAGATATGATCATATTTGCGAAGCCCAAATATAAATCTAATGCATACATTTTGAATGCGCTCAAGCTTATTAAGCTGCTCCTCGGTAATGTCAAGATAGCAAATATCAGCATAGTCAAGGATAGGCAGAAGTAGAGACTGGGCGAGCGTAACTTTAGTTGCTGTGGGAAGAAAATTACGTAATCTACGTAAAGAGCTTAACGCAGCAAACATTTTTCTATTGACCTCATTAACCTGTGAGGTCCAAGACATACAGGAGTCAAGATACAACCCCAGGTTTTTAACCTTGTTACTGTAAGGGATTAGAGTGCAGTCTAGTATAATAGGGGGTAGGGAAGACCAGTCAATTTTACCAATTAATCTAGAACTACCGATGACAATGACCTGAGTTTTCTTAATCAAAACTTACTCCAATTCGAAATACAAGTCAGATCAGCGTTAATAGTGTCAACTGCTTTAGATAGATCTTCAAGAGAGGACTGAGTATAGATTTGGAGATCATCAGCATACAGGTGGTAGGAAGAGGACAAATTATGACTTATAGAGTTAATGAAAATTCCAAAAAGGAGAGGAGACAACACGCCACCTTGTGGTACACCAGCAGCTGTAGTAGTCCAGATGGAAAAAACCTCTTGCAGCTGAATTCGCTGTCGGCGACCAAACAAGTAACTTCGAAACCAGTCAACTACAGTTGGAGATATGTTGAGAGAGCGTAGGATGCTTAACAAGATATCAAAATCTACAGTATTAAATGCGTTACTAAAATCAAGCAACGTGAGAATGGTAAGGTTTTGTTTCTCCATACCATACCGAATATCATCAGTGATTTGTAAAAGTGCAGTAGTCGTACTATGGCCAAGACGGAAACCGGATTGGAAGGGATTTAAAAAATTGTGTTTTAAAAGATAGCTGCTTAATTGATTGTGCACAAGACGTTCTAGAACTTTGGAAAAGAAAGGCAAAATAGAGATAGGTCTATAATCAAAAAACTAGAGGGATTTGACTTTTTCGGAAGAGAAACTACAAATGCGTCTTTCCAAGCTGAAGGGAAAAAAGCAGAATTCAGTTAATTATTCAGGATAGACGTGATTATAGGTAAAAGGAGATCAATGAAAGGGATGACCATTTTCCGACTAATGCGGTCACTACCAATCGAATTTGAATGGATGGACATTATGGCTCTCTTAACATCACAACTGTTAAATTGGCTAAAATTAAAAGCAGAGGTGTCCGGAGTAGGAGCTTTTGAAAGAGAATCCAAATTATTATGTATTGCTTTATCGTTAATGCAAGACGAAGATGAGAAATGCAAATTAAGTTGATTGAGATCAAAGTTATGGTGTGTGAGATTTTGTCGTAATTTCCCAACTCCTAAGGACTTAAGAAATTTCCAGACCCTAGCAGGGTCAGAATCTTGTACTCATTCATGGATATGGCGTCGTTGTGCTTTTCTACACAGATTGTTGCAACGATTCCGTACTAATCTATACTTCTCTCTATTCAAATCGCTAGGAACTGACTTGTATTTAGCTTTGGCACAATTTTTAATGTGGATGTTTTTTTATATCATCGGTCAGCCAAGGAGAGGGAGGATGCTTTACACGCACTGGACGAACAGGAGCATGAACGTCGTAAAGCTGAATTAACAGAGAGTTGAACAAAGCAACCTGTTCATCAACAGCAGACGCATTGACGACTACACTCCAATCAATCTTTACAGCGTCATTTAAAAGCTGCTCCAAATCCAAGTCACTAAAGTTACGCTGAAGTAGTATCCTTGACTTAGCTTTAGGGGGGCGGATTTTGTATGACAAGTATAAAAGGTTGTGATAGGAAAAAGAATCAGCAGCATGTTGCCCAAATTTAAGAACATGGTCAGGTAAAGACACAAACACTATGTCGAGAAGAGAAGGGGCACAATTCGGGAAAAAGTGTGTGGCAGAAGTAGGAAGAAGTTTTAAATTTGCTGCTTCAATAATAGATTTAAGTTTTATTGATCTAGCGTTGTTTTTTAAAAGACAAGTATTAAAATCACCCATAATAATACTGTGACAATAGATAGGTGTAAGATTGTCAAGAATATTTTCTAACGTGGTGAAGTAGTCGACAGTGAGTGTAAAAGACTCCGAGAAGTAATTTTGTATGACCAAGAAGAACTTCGATAAAGAGAAATTCAGCTTCGCTTCCAGTCTGCGAACCATTTGAAACTTGAATTACTGAAAAAAGTATATGAGAGCGCAGATAAATAGCAACACCACCACCGCCCCGATCGGTACGGTCGTTACGAATCAAATGAAAACCTGGAACCGAGTAGGATGTTGAGGGGAGACATGGTTTTTACCACGACTCCGAAACAAGGATAGCGTGTATGTTTTTGCTATTAAAACTTGACAACATGTCGGGGTAATGAGCAGGAATACTTTGAGCATTTATGTGAATAGCGTTAAAGTTTTTGCTAAATTCAGAAAAAGTTGAATCTAACATAATATTTAAGGGTGCAATGCTTTCAAACCTGTCAATACTGCTTAATCCATCAGAGGCAGAATCAAAGGCGAAGGAATTGGAACTCCGAACACTATCATCTGAAGAAATCATATTAAATTATATCTGATTACTAAATATATGTAAAACTAAGTAAATATGTATTATTATATATATGTATTATAATATGTATAATTATAAAATAAATAATTCAAAAATAAATAAATCATCAGTAAACTACCCGCCAGCATTATGGAAAGAAATGTTTAATTCACTTAACAATAAGTGAAGAAACGGAACATTTTATTTGATCAAATCGAAGGTTATTTTGTTACAGCGTCAAGTACATATAAGGAAACAATCGCCCAACATCCGCATCCGTAATTCGTTTATGTTTAACAAATATTGCTTTTTTTACTAGGATTGGAACCCAGTATTTCTGTTATTCAGTAAACGTGAACTTTACTGACGGAACTGTTTCTTAATACTTTAACAATCTATAGTTACTCTTCACAAAGAAGTATTTGGCATTAATCTGGCGTTTTTTTTTTAATTTAAGATTATTAAAGACCATTTTATTTCATAATTTTTTTGTTTTTCCTAAAAATTAATCCTTGAATTGCTTTCCAATTATTCGTAAAGTTTCATCACGACTTTTCAGCCGTTCCGAAAATCAGCCCCTATAGACAGACAGACAGTGAGACAAAAATGTTTAAAAACGGTTATTTATGTTTTAATAGAATTCAAATAACCCCTTGAACTTAATAGAAACCAGGGTTTTCAATATCACCGACACTTCAATTTTATTTATATGTTTATATACGGATTTTATGTAATAATTATTGACAATTACAAATTGATATGTCGCTTGGTTTCATAATTCGTAATAATTTGTCTTATTATTAATATTTCTGCGCTTCGTTTACTCACTGAGTTAGAACAGGCTGCTCCGGCTCCATCTTCTCAAACTGTATGATTTCTTCGAATGATCGCTCGTACCACTGATTGACCATTCCAACGGATGGCATTCGGAGGAGGTTCTCGGGCAGTAAAGCTATCTCCTTCATTATGTTCGCTAGCCTGTTAAGAGAAAAACACATTCCTTTAGTTTAAAGTTAGATTTAACATATATTTTTTAGATGATTCCTTTTTATTTTCCTGCAGTCCGGGCTGGTTCAGTACAATCCAACTTATTTTGCTTTTTCTCCGCCAAAGAGCAAAAATAAAACAAGTACACTTCTGAGTTCCGAATTGAAGGGTAAGAGATCCAGTAATAATTGACAGGTATTTTCCTATTTTTGTAATTCTATATATTATAGGTTACAAACAAACACACAGTCTACCAGATAAGTGGATGCTGTGGCCCATAAACGCCTACATTTATTATTTATCAAGAATCACAACGAAGATCTGTTGTCACCCCTAAAGCCTAAGATAGAATACCTCGTTACCAGAAAAAAGAGTGTCCGATTCTCTATTCACTATACAAAACATAGCACTGCCGAACTGAAACAATTCCCCGATCGAACACTCATTCGTACTGCAACCTGCAACCATAATATAGCTGCTGCGTGGCTCTATCACGTTTCATACCCGATTTGTATTTTAAAATTGGATTGATTATTTATTTATTTGATTGTTTAGACTTTAGCCTTGACATAGTTTCGACATTTCTACAAATACCGTTCGATTCTATTCACCTTGCTCTGTTAATTTTTTATTCATTTTATGACATAACCGCTTTAAAAACTGGTTACGGATAATCTTTTTTGTAAACTAGGTACTTTCATTACTACCGTCTGACTTTCATGATGATTTATCAAGTCTTTTAAATATAAGAAACAAAAACGACTAATAATCCCGAATTCGATACTACGCATATTGTTTAATGATGATGATTTAAAAAATAGTACCTGGTTGACCGAGCTTTGCTCGGTATTTTGCGCTCGTTTTTTTTGTAATTCGTGTGTTTTGGAAATTATATTTAGATACAAATTACATACTGATGAAATATAAATAACATTTTTTGATCTTAGCGACATAACAGAAAAAACGGAACTGGTTATTTGAATAAAAAATCATAAGTGCAATTATTTTAATTTAAATTTTCGTGTTTTTAAAAAATACTAAGAAAAGGGCTCGAAAAAATAGATTTTCTCAAAAAAAGAAAGGAACTTGAAAAAAAAAATTTAAAAAAGTCGATCGGTCGGTCTGGGCTCGAACCGGGGTTTTACGATTTTGTGACCGCCCATTATACCAAGTAAGCTATTTATAATCATTAACAATCTGTCAAAATTTACCTTCTTATTCTAACGATATTGTAGCAGTTTTTCATTGCCTAAAAACACGGACAAAATATATATATATATATATATATATATATATATATATATATACAAGAATTGCTCGTTTAATAGTATAGGATTAAAATTGTTAAAAAATTAATATCAATCACACAGCTTAAATTTTAATATTTACTTGTTATTCTAATAACATAAACTATTATAATGCAGCTAGCTAGTTTTTGTCTTAATTATGTGTATTATAATGCAGCTACCTGTATGTATGTGAGGAGATGTCACATTATCTTTAACGTTTGTATTTCCTCTTGCTACTGAATGTAATAGAATTGTTAGGCAATTTGTAATCAGAGCACACCGTAATGACGTAACCTACGCCTAATAAAACAAGAATATACGCCTCCAAAACTAATAATCATAACAATGAAGCTTCTAAAATAGCAGTGTTTAAGGGTACACTAGTCGCTTATTCTTCCATACAAACGTAGTCCGGCGATAACTCCACTGTTTGATGGTGTACGTTCAAAATAAAAAATGATTTCAATTTGTCTCATCATTATCTAGCCCTGTATGGAAACAAAAAAGTAAAAAAAGAGTATATTTAAAAGTTATAAGCGTCGAAAATTCCGAATTTCAACACTATTTTTAACACATCTTTGGGCGGAAATAAATACCATAAGAAGAACGAAAATTGCAAAACAGTTACCATACAGGGATAGATTAGTTGTTCAAAAATGCAAATAATTATATTTTAAACAGATACATTCAATAGGTTTTTCGTGACATCCAGACTAGACTAGACTCTGTTTATAAAATTTCGCGCGCCCGTTTTTGTTATAAAACATCTTGCCTTTCGCTACAAATTGTTTCCCCGATCAGTGAGACGGACGGAGGGGGGCGCAGCGCGCACCCACAGCTCACATGCTCACTAGGTTAGCCGCTGCTATCTATTTATGGTTGTATTACCTACATATCTACATCTTTATTTAGAAAAATTGCTTCCTTTTTTTGTTCGTGCCTTTTATTTGTTTGGACTGACCACCTGACTCGTTCAGTGATGCCATTCCCATACAGTGTTTAGTTTTCAACTAGCGTTATCTATCATAAAATAAATAAAAATTTTACTCATATTTCGCTAATTGTGTCTGTACTGTGAATTTGATTTACAATCGATCTCTAAATTGTAGTTTTCTTCTAATTACTTACCTTGCCTAGACGTGTTCTTTGGACTTCTGTAAGGAAGTCTATGCTGTTAGTATTCCGTTTATATACGTTACTACTTTGATAGACGTTTGTGCTTGTCCCTGCAGTGACACAATGTCTATTGTTGATAACTTTCTAAGTACTAAGAGAATATTTCAAACCGCTATTGAACACAAACAATCAATAAACAATTTACAAACTAATTTTTTTTTAATTTAATTAACCTATATAAAAGCCACACTCACATCAAAATCGCGCTGTCGAAAAAGCAGTTATCCTGACACTGGCTGACATATAGGTACTTCGGGGTCGGGGAGTTGCCTGCGGGCTATTATAGCTAACTAGCTATGGAAAGTAAATACCTATTTAGAATACATAGTACCTACAGTAATATTTGCATAACCTAATACCTATTTAGAATACATAGTACCTACAGTAATATTTGCATAACCTACAGTAAAATACAAAAACATAAAGAAAACATAATTATGTTACACTTTTTTATGTTTGTTTTAGAAATTGTTATATTTTTTCAAAAAAAGTTTTTTATGTTACCGTTTTTAGTTTAGAGTTATGTCCCTTTAGTGGGTACAGGCGTGATATTATATTGTGTGATTGCGTAAAGAATGCATAGATAGGCGATAGCAGCAATCGCGGTTGATTTGCTGTCATTTATTGAAGAGTGCCCCCGATTTCTCCAAGATCCCATCATCAGATCCTGATCTGATCATCATCGATTACCGTGGGATTATCTGGAAAATATATCCATTCAAACAAAAAAAAAATTTCCAAATCGGTTCAAGCATATTCGAGAAATCGGGGGACAGAACATACATAAACAAAAACCAACGAATTGAGAACCACCTCCTTTTTTTCGAAGTCGGTTAAAAAGTAGGTAAAAACTAATCAATGGAATTATTATATAATAACAACATCTACTTAAGTTCACATAAGAACTTTCATCATAACAACTAAGTATATAAATTGGGTTCATAATAATTACGTTTCACACAGCAGATCCTAAGTTACAATAACATCAATTTGCTTTCTCTCTTCTTTCTCTTTTTAAAATACGTTATCCCCACAGTAGGATTTTCTCCAGTATCGTGGAGGCAGTTTACAAATATAAATTGCACAAGAACAAACATCCAGACCCGGAACAACTATTTGTAGTCCATACAAAATAGTTGTTCCGTGGGGGATTCGAACCCGCGGCACCCAGCGCAGCTACTCATTGCTAAGCCATTGTGGCACGAAGCTCAAAATTGCCGTTTGAGTTTATGTTATTATTCTAAAATGAATCGCATAGGTACCCAGGTACGCGATAGCGGTCACTCGAGTGCGTATGTGTGTGCGCACTAGCTTCTTATTGCTTATCACAGCGTTTATCCCTTTCGCACGAGATGTCGGCTGAGAAAGCATGCATTTTTGCCCCGCCCACCATTTAGTTCGTGCCATCGACTAGGGCAACCTTAATACATTATACACGGACGAAATTCACTAAGAATTTCTAATTACAATGAATATCTTTGTCCAGTGAGTACTTTATTTTTCCATGTTCCACTTTTTTAACTACCTATTTCTCTTTTTTTACTTAGATTGATCAGCGTTTCTGGTTTCAACAGAATAGAACGAGAATGTTATTTAATTTAACTTATTGTTTTTTCATTAGAGAATACATAAGCTAGCTTACTAATGCATCTTATAAGGTTTCTTCGCTTATCTTGGAGTTTTACGACTGATATAAGGTTTAACCTGCCGTCACTTGAAGAGCACGAGATCGTTGACTCTTATAACGTATATATTGAACAAACATTATTTTATTTGAGACTCAATTCAATGGACTTATAACAAACCCAAAGAGGAATGAATGGTTAGTGAGATATGCCCGTTAAACATAATGAAATATTAATGACGTTTATTTTATAAATATTAAAAATCACTTAAGATGTAAAATATGCAATAACAATTTTAAACTCTTTTTCTAATTTTCACCCATTAACCTCAGATTAGACAGAGCAGCTGACCGACTTTATGGAGGAAGAGGGACTCTTTATGAACTCTTTCTTCCAAAAGCGGCCCCACAGAAAGTGGACCTGGTCGAGCCGCAAGTGTTCGATAAAAAATTAAATTGACTTCATTATGACGGCCAGACGACAAGTGTTCAGTGATATATCAGTGTTCGCGAGGGTGAAAACTGGCGGCGATCACCGAATGGTTAGAGGCACACTGAGCCTAAACGTTCAGTTTGACAGGTCTCTTTTAATGAAGTCAACGCTCCGCCCCCTCGTGCTCTAATCCGAACCCCGAAAACTTTCAGCTCGAGTTACAAAATTGTTTTCAGTGCCTAGAAGACTGCAATGAAATGGGCGATATGAATGACAAGCTTGTGGAAACTGTCCATGCGGTCGAAGCAAGTTCTGTAAGACCCGCCGCAGAAGAACACAAAAACTCTCCGATCACACTTTTAATCTCATGGCTGTTAGACGGGAGATGAAGCTGCAGTCTTCAGAAGTTTTGATATCATATTGGCAACTGAACAGACAGCTTTCCAAATGCATGCGGCGGAACTTACGC